GATACGTTGCACGAATATAATATGTTCGGTATTTGTACAATTACCTATTTTTATGCATTTTTTATGTTTCGTTTAAAATGGCGATTTGCCTCTATCCTTGGAGATAATTGGATTTCTTCCCAATTATCTCCAGGATAGAGAGGAGGGATTTACTGTATAAAGGGGAGTGTGTAAAACTGAGCCACTGTGATTGGCTAATGTATCCTACTTGTCCCAGTCTTCCATCTGGTCCCCTAGGGGAGTGTCCACCAGGTGGGAGACCTGCATAAATACCGGGCAGGTAGCCCTCATTAAACAGATTCCTGTTTGACCCTCAAGATGGAGCTTTTTTTTTTTTTTTTTAAATGTACACTACTGTTACACCAGATATGAGTTGCACTGGTGTGACACTGTGCCCTGGCAGGCCCTGAAACGCACACATGTGAAGATTTATGATACTTGTTTGCATGATTAACGAGCTGAAGTACACCTTAGTTAATATATATCTCCCCAGTGTAACCCCAGTACCACATTGAAAAAAACATATTAGAAATATTAGAAAAATCTGAATTGGTTAAAACAGGGATATATATAGTGGCTGGTGACTTCAACTTTGTCCTTGACCCAGAGAAAGATAAAGTACTAAAAGGGAGTGCCATAAATAATAAAATAATACAATTTGCTAGATCATTTGGGGGGAATTGCTACTTGGAAGAATTTATTTAGCCTGTTTTAGCCGAAGAAGGGATTCGGCTGATTTGTGTGTTCATGGATTTACCGCGTTCCCTTGAACTCCGTTCGGGAGTTTGGCAGTCTACTGTATAGAGCTTGTGTCTCTGGAAAGGGGGAACATCTGCTAAACGGCAGTTTCATCTACTTAAGCTGGGAGTGTCTTAACAGGATACATATACCAATAAGAGTTTTGGTTTTTTTTCCTGAACTTGGTTCAAAATATGATTAACATCAAAATAATAGATTATATATGGTCAGATCACAGTATTACCTTATTTGAAGTAAAAGATAGTTTCTCAGGGAAAAATAGAACAACGTGGAAATTAAACATTTTCTGCTATATAATAACAAAAATAGGGATAAATTAAAAAGGCTAATTGATTGCTTTTTTTAAGGAAAACGATCCCTTAGATACATAATTTTTGACGACATGGTGTACTTTTAAGGCGATCCTACAAGGATATTTAATTAAACTGAATCATGAATCTAAAAACAAAGAGAAAAGTCTATCTGACCTATATATCTCTTTGTATAAACTATCAGCAGATAATAAGGAGGGCCCTTTGCCTGAAAAAAAATAGGAAAATTATAGATACACAGGATAAAATCTTCCAGTGTCTAAACCATAAAATTGTTAAAAACATAAATAAATGAAAACTCAAATTTTACTGTAGGGGCAACAAAACTGATAGAATGTTAACTAACAAGCTTAGAAAACAACAAGCTAATTCGCAAATAACAAAAATTGTTTATAATAATAAAACATTTATAAATCCTATGGATATTGGAAATTGCTTTAAAGAATACTATGGGAAATTATACAATCTCCACGGAGAAATCCCACTTAACAACATAAATCATTATCTGACCAAAACAAATCTCCCAAAGATTGATCAAATACAGTCAATTAGTCTAAATAGACCGATCAATGCAGAAGTAGAAAATGCTATCTCTAAATTACAAAAATCTAAGACACCTGGACCAGATGGATTTACAAATTTGTTCTTTCATACCTACAAATCACAGCTGAGCAAACACTTGGCCCTAACTTTTAATAACGCTGTTCAGATGGGAAACTTCCCAGAGGAAATGACTAGAAACAATGTACTCCCTATTTTGAAGCAAGGAAAAAATGCACTGAAGTTTCTAGCTATCGTCCCATTTCTTTAATAAACACAGATGTTAAACTATTCTCATCCATCCTAACATCACGCCTCAACGAAGTAATTAGTAAATTAATTCATAATGACCAAATTGATTTTATACCAGGTAGATGGTCAGGCTCCAATACAAGAAGAATCATCAATATTCTGGATAGCTCTATAAAGAAAAACATACCACTATTAGCTATAGCTGTTGATGCTGAGAAAGTGTTTGATAGGGTAAGCTGGAAATTTCTGGAACGAGTGCTAGAATTTTATAATATCAGAGGTTGGATGTTAAATGCAATTATGACATTATATAGAAATCCCTCAGCTAGAATGGTTGGGCCAAATGTTTGCTCGCATTGGGTTACATTAAAAAATGGCGTCAGACAAGGATGTCCACTGTCGCCATTATTATATGTATTATCTATTGAACCATTAGCGGAAAACATTAGAAATAATTTAAGAATAAAAGGCTTCACAATGAGAAATAGCAAACTAAAAATCTGCATGTATGCAGAAGATATTCTGCTT